ACGAGGGAGACTGACAGACTGACAGTTTTTTGTGTTTCTTCTATTTGTGAATGATTGCACCAACTGTTGTCACCTTCTCACCAAGCTGCTTGGCAATAGTTTGGTATCCCAGTCCAGCCATGTGCAGGTCTACAATCTTGTCCCTGACATCTTTCGACAGCTCTTTGGTCTTTGCCATGGTGGAGAGTTTGGGACCTGATTGTTTGATTGTGTGGACAGGTGTCTTTTATACAGGCAACAAAATTAGATCATCAGCACTTCCTTTAAGAGATTGCTTCTAATCTCATTTTGTTACCTGTATGAAAGACATCTGGTAGCCAGAAATCCTGCTGAATGATAGGGGATCAAATACTTATTTCCCTCATGAACATGCAAATCAGTGCATAATTTGTTAGACATGCATTTCTATTGAATTTTGTGTTACTATTCTGTCTCTCAGTGTTACAATACACCTACCATTCGATTTTTAGACTGATCATTTCTTTGTGAGTGGGCAAACATTTAAAATCAGCAGGGGATCAAATACTTATTTTCTTCACTGTATATATATATATATATGTATGCATGTATGTATATATGTATGTGTATATATATATATATATATATATATATATATTTATTTTTTACCTTGGAGGAACCCTTGGCAAAATGTTTGAGATTTTGGGGAACCCCTGAAATAATATTCACAGCTCATAGAACATTGGTGTGATCGTGAACTGTTGATATAACAATTATATTTAGAAATGGCATGAAATAATAGAATCAGTATTAAAACTTACCTCTATAATGTGAAACTTGTGCTTGTTTCTTGATGCACAGATGCTCAATTCCTGGGTTGAACTTAAAATAGGCATTGGGGCAGCAGGGTGGGGTATGGGAGTCAGCATGGCAGAGCACAGACAGTAAGGAAAAATAGAGGGGTCAGCAGGGCAGAGCACAGGGGTCAGCAGGGAAAAGTACAGGTAGGGCAGCAGGTGGCATTACAGTGTGATGAGGGCATATTAGGATAGTGGCATGGTTCTCCTCACATGCAGAGCGGCACAGGGAAGCTGCTGTGATAGAGTCCTGTTCTGGTGCACTGATAACTGCTGGCCCTCCTCTCCAGACCATCCTATGTGATGTCCCATGCAGGACCGGTGTATGCATAAGGCTGCACCAGGATGGAAGGGGGTGGGAAAAATCCAAATTCCCAGCCACTTGCTGGGGATTGGGGATTTTCAGATTTTTAACCCTTTGCCGCTGCCTCCTGCCTGTACACATACACACTCACTGGCCACTTTATTAGGTACACCTGGACTGGATAGACTTTTGTCTTTTTTTCAGCCAGACATGGCAGCAGCTCAATGCTTTTAGGCATCTAGACGTGGTGAAGAAGACTTGCTGAAGTTCAAATTGCTAATCAGTCAATCACATGGCAGCAGCTCAATGCTTTTAGGCATCTAGACGTGGTGAAAACGACTTGCTGAAGTTCAAACTGAGCATCAGAATGGGTAAGAAAGGAAATTTAAGGGACTTTGAACATGGTATGGCTGTTGTTGCCAAACGGGCTGCTCTGAGTATTCAAAAAACTGCTGATCTACTGGGATTTTCACACACAACCATCTCTAGGGTTTACAGAGAATGGTCCAAAAAAAAAGAGAAAATATCCTTTAAGCTGCAGTTGTGTGGATTAAAATGCCTTGCTGATGTCAGAGGAGAATGGGCAGACTGGTTGCTGTGACATTCAGATGGTAGGGTTAGAATTTGGCATAAACAACATGAAAGCATGGGTCCACCATGCGTTGTATCAATGGTTCAGGCTGGTGGTGGTGGTGTAATGGTGTGGGGGAGATTTTCTTGGCCCTAGCAAGGTGTACCTAATAAAGTATGTGGCCACACTGAAGTGGGTGTTCTTCCGTGAGGTTGCATATATGCATACTAGTGTTTGTGGTCGAAGATTGCTCCCAGCACAGAGACAGAGCTCTCACTGAGAGCCATGGCTCTCTGAACGGCTATCACAGTGAGCAGTGACTGTGCAGCCCACTCATGTGTTTGTTTTTCTCCTCTGAATGGAGTATCAATACATTGATACAGGATACATTATATCTTTCTTTCTTTCTGCCAGGGAAGAAAGCTGTAAACAAACAAAAGTGTGGTAAAAAAAATAAAAATAAAACGGATGAAACCTTGATCTAGGTCAGTGTCAGGGTCAGCATATCTTGGGTAAGATTTAAAAAAAAAAAAAAAGCATAGGATTTTTGTCACCTGTGTAGACAAAAATCCTTACAACAGCCCTGGCCTTATACAATCACCTGGGATGAACAAGAAGGGGAGGGCCGGTGTAGAACAGTGCAGATGCTTAGGATGTTGCTTTCCTGCACCACTCTTCAGGTGGGGAGAGTATTTTATGACATAGTGTTGACTAGGTGGGGGGCATGATCTACCCGCCACCTGCCTGTGATCAATGGGTAGATTGTAGCAGAACTCCTGGGGACTTTCCATGGAACTCTGATATGAATTATAAAGCTCAGGTGTATCCACATTACAATCAGGTATGTAGGCAGGTGATGTAGTATAGCCGCTAATCTGAGGTGGTAATGCACTACTCCAAGAGGTTGACAGATGCCACAAGGGACTAAGTTGTTCTCTTAAATGGCTCCAGTTGGCCATCTTGGGGAAGCTGGTCTTATTGGATGCTGAAATCCCACAAGATTTGGGTGGGCTTTTTGGACACAGAGCTGTTTAAATAGTGCCCTTTGTGTCATTTAGATGTGCCTACAGTATGGGAGTAGAACAGGACTGATCCCTTACCTTCCAAAGAAAGACCTAGTCAAAGGAAAGGAACCAGACAAGGTGGGCCAGTGCAAATTTCCCTTTCTGCCAGGAAAAGATTTCTGTGGGCTAATGCCGTGTACAAAACAAAGAGAGATTTACTAAAACTGGAGCACTCAGAATCTGGTGCAGCTGTGCATATTAACTAATTAGGTTCTAACTTCAGCTTGTTCAATGAAGCTTTGAAAATAAAACCTAGACATCGATTGGTTATTATATACAGCTGCACCAGATTCTGTGTGCACCAGTTTAAGTAAATCTCCCCCAAAGTGTGCTGCTGCGATTTGTCAGCATTGTGAAAAGTGGGAGTTTCTAAAAGGACATGTTTTAATGTGACACATTTCAAATCTTACAGCATCAGCTTTCTTTGTTCAAACGATTCCCCAGCATCACATGTCCAAACAGGCAGCAGGTAGCTGTATAATACCCATCATGTGTCACTGACTGCAAGTCTTGCTGTGATTAATGTCTGAATGGTGAAGCATATCCACTCAAGCCCCCCAGGCTCAGTCCTCCGCTGAGTATGCGCACAAGTGGAATTAGGTACAAGGTTCAAAGACAGCAAACACATTATAAAATGCTATTGGAAGTACAAATACAACACATAGCAGCCCATCTGTCACATAATAACCTCACTAAGCAGAGAGATATTTTTGAGCCTGTGGCCAATCCAGGTTTAAAGAAAAATTCCAGGCATGGGATATTTTTACATTGACCCAGCTTGAGTTAATGTTATTCTATGTATACGATACCTGGCAGATGCCTCTGCAAGCTGGAAATCACTTAAGTAGACACCACTACTTCGGTGATCTTCACTTGCTCCCTTGTCATATGCCGAGTGACCACCTGATCTATCCTGAACACAGGAGGTCAGCTGCTCAACCCAGGAGTCATTCAGGGAATGCTTTGCATTTTTCAAATAAATGCAAAGCTTCCTCTGATTGGACAGGGTGGTGACATCACCTATGTGAAATTCATCACATATTGTAGGTTCCTATATGAAGTTCATCCCTGCCATCACTGATACCTATTTGGCCATACCCCATAAACCATACCTGTTTAGTCACTTTTCACCATGGCTGGTTGCTTCCTTATCTTCTTGTAAACTGATGTCCAGGTTGACATCTCTGATGTTGGTAGGTTACCTTGATCACTATGCTTTTATGAGTAAAAACAGTGTAAAATGTGATAGAATTGTGCCTGTGTGCATATTTCACATGGTAGGATGACCACAGTGGGTTATATTTTGCATTCAATTCATCACACTACATAATTTTAAATTATTAGGCAGTTACAATAACAACTCCTTCAAAAAAAACAGAAACTACTTAAGAAGAATAAAAATGAACTTTTCGCTACCAGTGTGCCAGGAGATATGATAGGAAGATATGAGAAACTGTTGTTCTAATATAAATATATATTTTTTTTTTCAAAATCTAAAAATTTAAATCTTTATATTTTTCATGGTGGGTAAAAAGCTCTATTTTTACACCTTTTATATTGTACTGCTTGCAAACTCCTTGGTTTACACTCCTGCTTGTATTGTTACTGCTAATAAATCACATCAAGGAGCAATGCAAAATTCAAATGTTGTAAGTACTCATTCACACAGAGATTTTTCAACCCGTACAAACCCATTACCAATTGTTTTTCTTTGGGAAAAAGGGAACCAACCTTTCCTTGTGTATACTTTCCCTGCTCTTTATTCATGTCAGTATGTAGGCTTCAGAGACAATGGATTTGAGTAAGGATGCACAGATTTCTATTTCAATGCTGTTCAGTTATCCTTTTGTCGATTTTTGCATATCTTGTATTGAATTAACACATTCAGAAAATATCTTACATTAAAAACAAAAACAATTGCCAAACTGTGGATATATATATTACTTTATTATAATTTTTTGTCATAAACAAAATAAGCAGTGGCGCTGAAAGTGGCTGCAAGCAAGTCTGTACAATTCAAAAAAATTCACATTTGCTAAGGGGCAAGTAGAAAATTAGGAAAATTGGGGTAGTATAAAAAGACACTTTAAATACTGAAGTGAAATAGTAAAACAGTCTTTCCATTCCCACATAACTTTTTGTGGCCCTGACCTGTGCAAACATCTATCTACTATGGGATGCTTGACGGGAAGAACACTTAGGTGTAGCCTATTGCCTATGGTACTGTGTATTTTATTGTATTCACTTTATCCTAGTGTTATAAGTTTATCAATTAAATCATCAATTGTATACACTAAAAGTTTAATGTCATCTTTCTCACTCATCCGATGTTGACCGTGTTTACGAAGAATGACATCTACGTCTGTACTAATAACTCGGTCAGCGATCTGCAAGGATACATGCCATGGCACATCTTCATCTTTCATGCCATGGAGAAGTCGAACAGGAGATGTTACAGGTATAGGACTATTTAAAATGCAATGATTTTCAGCTTCTTTAAGAAAAGAATAAGGTATGCTGTAAAATCCAGATTCACTATACTTTGAAGGTAATTTCCATTCCCCTGTTTCTTCAGCAGTCTTCTTTTCCTGAAAAGAGGGAAAAACAAAAAGATAAATACACTTAATATAGATCACACAACCTAGAATAGATAAATAAGCCAAAATACGGTACCTAAAAGTTAAAACAGGCCTGGTGCACATCTTCGCAGGGAGGGAAAAGGCATGGATATAAATTTTATCGTTTTTATGTGAAACACACTGGAATTGGAGCTTACAATAGGTTTACTAACTCAAAAGAGTGTTGATTGTAAAATAGAGCTGCATCAAAAAGATTATACATTACAATGCACTTTATAAACATTGATCATTTACAACTCCCTCAGCATTAATAAGTCTGAACATACACATTATGTGTAGTACATAATTATGAAAATAAGATTAAAAAAAAATAATAATAATAAAAAAAAAAAAAAAAAAAAAAAAAATAAATCACACAAACTAACTATAGACAACTCTAAATAAATTAGCTAAACTAATAAAACCGATGCTTAGCTGCCACCATGATTATTGAAATATACACATTCTATGCTGTAAAAGTGCCATGGCACACTAGAGATCCAGCTCAGGATGATGATAGAGGGCAGTGAAAATACTCACCTACTTTCATGTGTTGTTCTGTTGCTGTATAGATAAGCAAGCCCCATAAACTCTGCGAAATGTCACTTGCCAGCCATGAGGCTCACTTATATGCGCAGAGAGACAGCAGCACATGGAAGTAGGCGAGTATTTCCTCTGTTCTACATAGCAATTTTATTGCTGGTAAGTTGACCTCAGCAATGAGATCGCCAGTCTTCCATGGACCCAAGTCATTTGCCATGTGTGTTATTCCTAAAGTGGAAGTTCGGTCAAAAGCTAACTAAAGCTAAACCTACTCCCATCCCCATTCTAAGCCTATGCTATCTAATCCTGTAAAGAAAAGATATGTATACTTAAATATTCTGAAGCTGGTCTGGTCCGATTCTATGATCAGCTGTCAGCAGTGGCTTCAATGTAGGAGGAGGTACAGCCGACAACAGATGCCCCATAGTAAGCCTATGGGTGCGGTTTCTCTCAAGCAATTGCAGCCTTTGTTGGCAATCTCTCCTCTGCACAAAAGCCAACACTGGGGAGATCATGTGACCAGACCAAAGCAACTTCAGAATTAGGGATGCACCGATATATCGTTGGTTGAAACAGAGCCAAAAATGTGTTATCGGCATTTCGCAGATAAGAAAAAAGGTGCCACTAATTGTGCCGATACATGTAAAGTCACGTCTCATAGACATTCATGCAAAGACGACCCCTAGTGACTTCAATGCAAAAATCACATCTCATAGACCTTCATGCAATGACGCGTCCGTTATGGTTTCGTTTTTTGGCCAAGTGCATCCTGAATTTTCGGTTTCGGCACCAGAATTTTCTTTTCACTGCACAACTATTCAGAATAGGTAAGTATACAGAACGTTTTTCTTTACAGGGTTAGGTAGAATGGGATTAGAATCGGTGTTGGAGTAGGTTTAGCCTCAGTTAGCTTTTTAGTGAACTTCCACTTTAAGGCATCAAATTTAGCAGCATTATTGAAATTTTGTTTCACTCTGTGAAACCAAAAGGCATTGTTTCTGCAGTTTTACTGAGGTCCTCCCATTCAAACTGGTCCTAAATGCAGAAAGTAAAGATTTGCTAAGTTTTAGGGAACATTTTGATTTTTTTTTTTATTTTAAGCCCTAAGCAGTACCCTGAAAGACTTACATTTTGCCTTGAATTCCTCCTAAAAAACAGCTGTGTAGTTCGTGCCTATAGTGTAAAAATTTCATAACTGCACTGTGGACTCACTGAAGGCTAGCAGTGCCTCTGAATGCTAGTAGAAGATATAGATGGAGATTTGGTGCTCAATGTTCTGTTTGAAGGAGCGAGGACAGGTACAAGGATATCTCTTTGCTTCTGCCGGAGTTCAGGTCCTCTTTAATAAGGGTTTGCCCTCATGTTTGAAAGATGCGTTCACACAGAAATGTATTCCCAGTGCTTAAAATAATGAAACTACACTTTGAACATACAGTTATGGGTTAACAGCCTGTTCATGGAATGAAAAAACATTTCAAGAATTGCTCTGTAGTTATAATCATGGTTAGCAAGCTCAAATATATGCACAGCAGCTCATTGTATTAAAAAATAAATAAACTGGAGATTAGATGAGTTTAGATACATCAGACAGGTACACTTGAATGCAACAAATTCTCTTCTTGCTTATAAACATTTAAATATTTCTTCTTCACTTTTTAAAACATAAAAATTCACAAACAACATACATTACAGCTTGCAATAGGTGTGAAATCCTATTTTAAATAACATGCTAAACTTCAATCATACAATAAAAGTGAAACTGAAAAAAAATTGTCCAGAATCGATTCAGATGCTGATATTTTAATTTGTTATACTTGAAAAAGAATAACCATTTACTGATCATATGCTACCAAAAACTTAAAATACAAATAAAGGCAGTTTTTTTTAAATTTGTAAAGTGGTGATGGATTAAACAGGTTTTTATTTAGGGCGACTGATCACCATTGTCACTGGGAATGAAAGCTAGGGCAAATTCCAAACTTTTAGTTGCCACCAGAAGTGGAAAAGAGGGGTAATCTTCAAATGACAACTATCTAAGAGTGGATTTTTCTCCTACTGAAAATATATCCTCTCACTTGACACAGGAGAGGAAATGAAGGAAAAAATTTCCCTAATGATACAGATGTAAAAAGAAAAAAACAAAAAAAAACAGACATTGGTTTTAACCTTCCCCCTACTCTCTTCAATATAAAAATAAAACAGTTTTGACTTTACATATACTTTAATCATGAAAAATACAGTATATTTACCTCTGATGGAAGTTGATTAAATGCAGTTACAAAATAGTCTGCAGCAGGTGCGACACCAACAAGGGCTGCAGTTTTTTCTGGACGAGCCAGTGCAGCAAGCAACATCAGCCATCCTCCCATGCTTGAACCAACTAATATCTTAAAATAAAAAAAATATATATATATATAAATATTGTAATACAAATACAGACCAAAAAAACAAAGCTAAACAGAATTCCATCCTACTATAGCAGCTCTAGTCTACCAAAGGAAAAAAAAAAAAAATGTATTGCTCAGCAGTATCTCCCACTGACTCCCCAATCTTGGATCTTGCTGCCAGCCTTTCAGGATGAATGATGGCAACATCATTCAATCCACTTTCTGTGAGCCAAGGTTGTAATGAACATGCTCCCCTTGGAAAGTATCATTACATCAGCCTGGGCTTGCAGCAAAATATGGCAGGGAGCAATGCTGACATTGTAACGTGCACTGCTCTCTGCAGTACCAAAGACTGCCTGCTTCCAGACAAGGACTGGTGACTATGGATGAACTCTGGTTTAATGTGAACTTGGGTTCAAACTGAACCTGGGAGGAAGTGGTCACTCCTTCCCACTGCTGTCCAATCTACTGGGGCCAGGGCATTCTCTGCCCTACGATAGAATGTTCAAAAGGGGATAAGTATGCTTGTGACATCATTGACCTAATATGTCACAAGCATCTCAGCCCCCTTTTGTGGGGGTGCAGTGGATAGAAGTGATAGCTTATTTTAAGGTTTGGTCTGAAACCAAGTTCATATCAAACCTAAGCCCATCCCTGCTTGTGATCTGCAAGAAAAAAATGTATGCATTCTAAACTTTTTTTGAAACCGCATGCATCCATTGTAAAACTTGGCTTTCACAACAATTTCTTGTGTACTAAACACAGCTGCCTGTTCGCAGAAGGGATCTTGAATAAATATTTTCAACTAGATGGACATATTTAATCAAACTCCTATAACTATCTACCAAAAAAAATATGGCTGCTCTATCATTTCTTAAAATACTGAAGCCATTTCATTAGTTACTTGATATCTATTTTGTTCTTTCATAATTGGATTTATTTTCAAACACAGTGTAAAGGATAGAAAAAGAGTTGCAAATTACCATTTGTAAAATAAAGATTTTAGAGAAGAGATTAAAATATAAAACGTGTTTACTAATGTGTAAAAAAGGAAAAACATTTAAATACCATGATAAATCTTTTCAGAACTTGGAGACACCGGTACACCTGAAACTGTCCATCTCCTTATTTAGGCTAATGTAGGAAAATGAACAAAATCGGTCACACTTGAAAACACATCTATTAGCCGGCAAGGATCGAAATCAGACTGGGAAATACCTAGACAGCATGAAAGAATACAGAATGTTTTACCTGGGGTCCTTCAGACACATCATCTAGAATAGAAAGTACATCTTTCTTCCATTTTCCTATTGTACACTCCTTAATATTTCCTTCTGAACTGCCACATCCTGTGTAATCAAACCTGAAAATGAAAAAGGTGTGTGCTTGAACAAGAAATAAAGCATGTCCTGTGAATACTGAAAACTTAAAAAAAAATAGCTTACACAAAAGACCCCTAAAGTCTGTTTAGCAAGCACTTCCTATAAAGCTCACAAATACTTCCTTACCATCCAAAAGGAAGAGCTCAAAAGTAGTATTTTTTTTTTTTTTTTTTTTTAAACTGCTGCATCTTGGCTGCCCTTACTCCTATAATCTGGATAAAGGAAATAAAATCTCTTGTGCGACCTGAACGAAAAATAAATTAAATTGATGAATTAATGTTTCTTTGCATGTTAAAACTTGCCTTTCATTATCAAAGTGATTATTTAGTTCTGCAAGTCTTCTACTTGAATAAGCAAGGCACAACTCCAGGGAGTCAATGAAATGCTGTTAATACACTTCAGGAAACAGTACAACAGTGTTATGCCAGCAAGGAACTTGGTTTAACATAATTTGATTATCCCTTGCTCCTAGCCCAAGTAGGACACACAGGCTGCCTCTGGGAGGCCTGTAGTCCCTTGCCAATCTTTTTGTGCAATTTTATTCCCTGAAAACAAGACCTTCTATCTCACGTACTTCTCACTGTAGAGGGGTGTAGATCAGAGTTGATAAGATTTCTGACTGATTATAAGTAAGATTAATTAGAGCGCTGTAGTCCCAGGGTATAATCATACAATCTGCAGAAAAGCTCACATGGACAGTAATAGATTTCCCATGTATGCTGAACCATAGGATTGGGGGTTAGTAGATCAGGACAACCAGGTTGGTCTTGCACAATTAGGCAAAACCAGGAAAATCCAGATTTATTCCCCACATTAATGCTCCTGTATCATCTGGTCAAACAGGAACACAGCCAGGCCACAAACCAACGCAGCTACCACATGCGTCCCCACCAAACTGTCTTATAGTGCAGAGAATGCATGCACCCAGAAACCCGGACTGGGAACCCATGCTGGTCTCTGTCAATGTGGTGTGTCCCTTCCAGACATGGCCCTCGCCAGGCACAGAAGGAGAAAGGGAACCAAGCTACCTCCTTCCAATACTGAGGAGTGGTCCTGGAGGGCAATCTTGTAAATCCTACTAGCTGCTCCCAGTGGAGCAAGGTAGGTAAAGTAGCGGGTATGAGAAAAGGATAGTTAGAGAAACAGAGGCCTCCCTCACCTAGGTTACAAGTGATACATGTCCGTCTGGAGGAAACACAAACAACTGAGCTCAGCAGAGGGGACTCCTTTTAAAGGGCATTTGGTGATACGTTTCCTGTTCCTGTTGGAGGAGGTGCCTATACCTCATGGGTTGTCCTGGAAGACAATTTTGGAAATATGCCTTAAAATTGGAAGCGGACTTAGGGCACCTTTTGCAACCAGAGGACCTAAATCGAATTTGATTACCAACCTCAAACTGTTCCACAACATGCAGCAGTGTTGGCAAACTACAAATATCTAATAAAGTGGTATCCCAGAGTAACAAAAAAAACAAAAAAAACAAACTATACAGCAACTAGAAGGTAATTTCCTAAACTCTTGTGTCCTGGTCTGTATATAGCTCTGCATTACCAGGCCATTTTTCAGTTTTAAATTTTCTATTTATTTTCACCAAAAATTAAAAAAAAAAAAAAAAAACCCCAAAAAACCATTCCTTTAACTGAATTAAGGAAAAAAAAAATCACTGGATTTTAAACTTTTTAAAAGAAAAAAAGTTTTCAAACGCATCTTATGTACTGCATTTCTTGAGGCTGTGGCAGAGAGAGCCATGCCACTGTGTGGTAAGGCAGTCTAAGTCAGGATTGATAGAAAACAGGCACACTAATGGTGCAGGTGTGTGCTGGGTTCATATTAGAGCCAAGATTAGAGTTCGGGGCTCCACCCTCCCGGGAGTCAGCGTGCGTCTTTAAGTGGAAAGAAGAGAGAGAGGTGCATGTCTGTACCCGGACAGACAGAGGCCCAAGAGAGAGACAGAGCAAAGGGGAGCTGCAAGAAAGACAAGCTGACAGAGGTAGAGCATTGGTGCCATAGCACTGGGATGTATGTTAGATGGTCTGGAGGACCAAGTCACGACACCTGAGCAGTAGAGCCGCAAAAAGAGTCAGGAGGCTGAATACCATTTTGTTTGTTTTGATGGTGGAAACCCCTGCATGAGCAACTGATATCTTTCGTTAAACTTTTCTTTACCATTTTAAATAAAAGTGAGCAGATAAAGCCCTGAAAAGTGAGTAAACTAACTACCATTGAGCTAAGCAACCCACAAGTTGTCACAAGGCCTTAAAATGCCCCAACACTGCATAAAATATACATTGAAGCTGTCCGAAATAAGTAATGCATAGAACAGCTTGCAGATTGCAGTTGACTGCTGTTAGCACCCCCTTATGGTGGTGGCGAGTGTCCCTTCAAACACTGGTGTTTTCCCCCAACACTGGAAATCAGTGTGCCTCTTTAAGGACCATACGTGTCCCTCTGTGTCCCCTAGCTGCTCAGTGATATTCATGGCACTCCCTCTCTCTCTCACTCCTTAATGATTAGTGTTTCCCTCTTGTTTGTGGTACGTGGGAGCCGTTTCCCACACAGGATCAGGCAGGAGAATCACAAGCAGTAGAAGAATGAAGAGGACTGGCATCAGCAGAAGGGGCGGGCTTTCACAAGCTGTGTTTACATTTAAGATTGCTGTGATCGGCCATCACAGCACTTACCAGGTACGATACACTCAGCTCTGTGCCTTTTGTCTTTTATGAGAACTGTCTAAAGACGGATTCATCACAGACCTTTTAACCAGTTGCAGACTCTGGATGTGTTGAACACCCCCCCCCAAAAAATGTCATCATTGTACACAGGGTGTGTGTAGCACGTCCAGTCCTTCTGCCCTGCCTCCAGGACCTCCCGTCACAGTACTTGGCAATTCACTCCTGATTATTCAAAGCAGCATTGCCAGAGAAAGGTTTGACAGCTGGAGCGCTGACAAAAGCAGTCTGGCAATGTTTGTCAACAACATTGCTAAAAAAAAAAACAAAAAAAAACCAATGTTTCATTTTGTATCTGTTTACAGTATTCACCTGCAGATCAAAGGGATGAACCTCCATCTGCAGATGAAGTCAGTTAAAGCAATCTGACACGAAAATTATTTTTTTTTTTAATGAAATGTTTCTCTGTTTAACCCCTTATTAACCCTCAGTTTACTCTAATTAGTCCTAATTAACTCCTTTTCTCCTTCTCTATTTGATTATTTCTCTGATTTTTTTTGTTAGTTTCTTTTTTTTTTTTACCTAATAATAGTTCACTTGTTTTTGTGTTTGTTAATATTTTTACACTTTTAACAAATATTTACAAATTTCACATTTAAAGTGTTTGCTTTGTACCAGAATCATATTGTCATGTCATTTTAAACAGGACAAATTAAAGAATAAAATCTGTACTTTTTATGCGCAGTAACACTATATTACACTGCTCAAAAAATCATTGTTCCAAGACAATATTCACGAAAAGAAAGCATCGTTTGTCCTTAAAAATACAATATATGTTTTTATCTTAAAGGATAAGTTCACCACTGGGAACATATTACATGTTCCCCCCATATTTAGGGTGTAATATGTTCCCGATCCTGCAGCCACTGACAGAAGTACAGGGAGAAGTTCCCCTTATAAGCTGTCACTTATGAAAAACAGTGTGGCCACGCGGGGCTCCACCCACACAGCCATGTCATTCATTCACAGTCCTCTATGAATGGACTACAGATCCTGAAAGCCTTAGTGGCCATCACCTTGTAGTCCTCAGTGAACTACCACAGCTCTGTGAGCGCTGTGGTAGTTAATTGATTCTTCCCGTCAGAAGTATCGGCTTGCTTGTATGGGATGTACGAGCAAGCAGATACAATGACAGTCTGCAGGAACCCTGCATGGCATCAGCGATCTGCTGAACGCTGGTACAATGCTATAGAGTCTCCTAACACAAAAAAAAATAAATGCAGTTTTTTTTTTTATCTGCAAATAAAAAATGTGCATTTATTATTTTTTGTGAAAAGGTGAACCTATCCTTTAAGTAAATGACAAAGTTATCAACGCAAACACAGGTCCATAGAAAAGTAAAAAGTTGCTCTGGTCCTTAGGGGATGAACAGGTGTGAGAGGTGAAGTGGTTAATGGGCACTCTGGCCACCTGTGTCTTGTTTCTGCCCTATCGTTTATATGTGGCACTCCAAAATAGAAGTCCATTTCCCTTTTTTACAGTACAGCCAAAGGAGGTGGTTAAAGACCCACATAATGCCCCGCAGTTTTGCCTGATAACATATAACCATAATAACCAGTCATATCCCAGGCCTGGAAAATGCTATCCCTTGCCTTTCTAGAATTCATAAGCAGAGTACCTCAAACCATGGTACTGGTTAGCAATACAAAATACACCCTTAATTGAGCATCTGTCAGGTATTTTTGATCTTGGTTCTCCGACTATCTAGTCTTACTTTGGATCTTCCTCCCCTATAGAGAAATAGCCACTCTCCACCCCCACCCCCTACCCTTTTTGTCTTCTCTCCCTCTCATTCTTTTGCCACTTTTCCAACTTTTTCTCCTCTTTTCTCCACTTCTCTCTCAGCTTCTCTCCTACCACTCCCATGTATTTTAACCCACCACTTAAAACTGCAACACCATTGGCTCAAGTCCGGATGACTTGCCCAATCTTGGACACCACCTGATTTAAACCGTGCTCCTGTTACATACATTATATAGGATTAATTCATAAAGCAATATATGCATGTAACGAATGACCACTGAACCAAATCTGTACTACCAAGCTTCTATTTTGAATCAGTCAGAACAACGTTAGTTGAATGTCTTATATTTTTTTGTTTGGAAAATGTCTGTGTTCATTAAAAAAAAAAAAAAGAAGAAAAAAAAAACAAAAAAAAACAAACACTGCACCTGACAGCCTAGGTAAAAACCACAGATGTGTATTGAGTATGCTATCAAATAAATGACAGAACAGCAGTAATGACCAGTCCTAAAATGTGAGTGTTAATGTTAGTTACCTGATAAACGAGTGACCCAGGGATTTGCAGAAATCTTCGAGCGCCAGTGCTTTATGGCCATTCATGTCTGATGAATAACCAGGCAGGAAAATTACTCCAGGACTTTTGCCTTTAAGCTTGTGGTAAGCCAATTTAGGTAAATCTTGTCGCACTAGAAGCTGAGCTGATGACTTTAACCTGCAAGCTTTAGTGGAATAAAAACGGTTAGATAAAATCATAATCCAAATTTACAGCTAAAGCTTTATAAAAGCATATTTAACACAATCAAAGGATACAGATAAAGAGAGCTGAATTTACATGCAAATAACTTTTTGGCCTTTGTATGTAAAGTGGAGTTCCAGCTTAAAAAAAAAAAAAAAGTCAGCAGCTACAAAAACTGTAGCTGCTGACTTTTAAAACACAGCCACTTACCTGTCCCTCGGTCCAGCAATGTCCCCACCACCGCTGGTTTCACCGGCCGTCTTCTCTGCCTGGCGCCAGCATCTTAAGTGTGGGCACCAGTCTGTGACAGCTTGTGGCTTCACAGCTGGGTGCCCACTACGCATGCGTGAGAAGCGCTGATAATGGCCCCGTAGTTTTCAGGGACCTTGCACGTGTCCCAGAAGACTACGGGGAGGGAGGGAGGACAACTTCCACTTCTGATCGCCTAGGCCAGGGGTGGGCAACTGTGGCCCTCCAGCTGTTGGTGAACTACAAGTCCCATCATGCCTCTGCCTTTGGGAGTCATGCTTGTAACTGTCAGTTATGTAATGCCTCATGGGACTTGCAGTTCTACAACAGCTGGAGGGCCACAGTTGCCCACCCCTGGCCTAGGCAATTGCAGAGGAAGTGGGAACCTATCAAATTCTGGTACCCGCTCCCCGAAGGTGCCCGAATGGAGAGCAGGGGACATAGTATTAAAGCAGAACTTGCCCTTTTGGGTGGAACTCCGCTATAAATCCTCAACACTGCTCCTTTAAAGTGATTGATCAACCATTTATGCAAATTACAGATTTAACTGTACAGTTTATGACGTCAGTTGTCTATGTTTCTAGGTCTGCTGACTATTTTGACATGCAGTTTTCTTTTTCTTCTGCTTGTGCATTTTTTTAAATGTTCAGAATGAATTGCCAAGGATTATGGCAGATTTACTTAAAAGTAATGTCATGAGAGAATAAAGGAAGTATTACAGTAGGCCTAACAACCATTGAACCCTTGCAGTCCACGGCGAAGTGGAACTTCAATGGTATTTTGTTTAAATCCCAAAATGCAACTTTAAAGTGATTTTATATGCATCAGTTACTTTAAATATAATGCTACACAGATTGTCTAATTTTTAGATTTTATTTCTCTATCCTTGAAATCAGGAACATCTGCCTTTCAATATAAATGATCAGAGATCCAGGAAAGTTGTACGTCTCATATACATCAAACTGTTTTGTCAAGCCTTGCCAAACTGGGCTATTGTGTCACTGTGGGAATGTTTGGATTATTATGCCTCTGTTTGTATTCTCCTAGCAAATAGCAAGGAAAAAAACGCTACATATATCAGCTAAAAATATCTGGAGCACAGTTGTGCCAGGGGCAAAATAACTCAATTTAGTTTCAAAGATGGATAAAATGTTGAGCTTCCAGTTTTCTAAAGCAACTATAATTCTGCTGAACATACCATTCCTTATTGTATTTCATTCGACATTTTATTGTATGGCACTGTCAAAGTGCACAGATAGTATGAATAGGGCAAAGAGCTGTAGAATTTGAACATACTATTACTCTTTCACTGCCTGGCCCTGCTCTCCATTTTTCTCCATCTCAGATGGCCAGATCATTTTTTTAAAAATTTCCTTTCATTAAAAAAATCATTTTTCCCTTACAGATTTGTAAAAGATCCCCCAAACAATACAAGTTCTGAAAGCATAGGACCAAAAGAATAAAAAGGTGGTGCTACTGATTTAGTTGGTCCGGTTATCAAAATAATTCTAAAGCCTTAACAAGGATTTTATTTTTATCTTAATACATTCTATGCATTAAGGTAAAAAAAAACAAACTCTGTGTCAGACCCCCCCCCCCCGCTCTTATACTTACCAGAGTCCAATGTTGATCCAGCGCTGTGCACGAGAGCTGCAGCTTTACCGGCTCTGTCCCTCCTCACTGGGCAGATAGTGGGATCTGTCGGCTGCCGTTGCTGTCAATCAAAACCAGTGACGCAGACAGGGAGGCAAGAGAGCGAGCCCACAGCAGGGCCCCCATAGAAAGCAGCTTTCCATGGGGGCACTGGGTGGGTGGAGGAGCTAGGAGCACCAACAGGGAACCCAAGAAGAAGAGGATCGAGGCTTCTCTGTGCAAAACAATTTGCACAAAGCAGGCAAGTATAATATGTTTATTATTTTAACCACTTCCCGTCCGGCCCATGTACATCAACGGCCGGATGGGAGCAGTGCAGGAGCGGGTGGACATTTATACACGGCTCCCGCATTCACTGTCTGTGCGCTCTCCCTGGGAGCGCGAGGCACCAAGATACGGTGCCCACTGTGTCCTCTGGACACCGATCGCTGTACGGCACCTCTGTGTGAGGTCCCGATTCATGTGATCACTGACTGGCCAATCAGTGATCACATGAATAGTAGTAAGCAAGATGTCACTTCTGACATCATTGATTCTACTTGTGAAATATGTGAATGATCACAGAGGTCACATGGTACAAGGCTATTCACAGACCAATCACAGCTCACACAGTACTTCTCAATGGCTGCAAGAATGCAGCCAGAGAGAAGGAGAAATTATTGCTTTTACAGCCTTTATGGGTATAATAGCAATCAGTGTAAAAAAAAAAAAAAAAAATCTTCATCACCCCCCACAAGTAGTACAGTGTCACTATGGTGACACTGTACTGCTAGGATGACGGCATGTAAAAAAAAAAAAACAAAAACCCCAAAAAAATATAAAAAAATAAAATAAAAATGTAAAAACATTTTTTTTTTAAATATAGTTTTTGGCTATAAACTAATTTGGGTTTTTTTTTATTTACTAAAAAGATAGATGAATACATTTTGGCCAAGATTTATGAAGAAAGATTATTTGCAAAATTTTTATAAGAAAAACACTTTTTTTTTCAAAATGTTTGGACTTTTTCATTTATATAGCAAAAAAAAAAAAATCCCAGTAGTGAATAAATACCACCAAAATAAGTTTTATCTGTCTCCAAAAAATGCTAAAAAAATGCATGTGGGTACAGTGTTGCATGACCGCGCAATTGTCATTCAAAGTGTGACAGCACTGAAAGCTGAAAATTGGCCTGGACAGGAAGGGGGTGAAAGTGTCCGGACTTGAAGTGGTTAATTTAAAACAAAAAAAACAGAAGCTTTAATATCATTATAAGCACACAATGGTGGTGCCATTAACAATAAATGACAATGTACACGAACAAGCATGGTGGCATGCACCAAATATTACAGTCAGGGGAGAAGGGTTTTAGGAATATATCACGTGTTGGAACAGACTCCTGACATTTTGAGATAGTGAAAAATTTGAAGACAAAAAGGTGCTTATTTACTAAAACTGGCAAGTGTAAAATCTGGTATAGCTCTGCATAGAAACCAATCAACTTTCAGGTTTTTTTCGTCAAAGCTTAATTAAACAAGCTGAAGCTGGAAGCTGATTGGCGATCATGCACAGCTGCACCTGATTTTGCACTCTCCGGTTTTAGTAAATCAACCCCATAGAGTCCTCAATTTCCTTCTCCTCTGAAGCCCTGCACTTACTTACGACATCCACAAACAAAGAGATAGTGCACATGAACGGCATGTTTAATATATCTTCAGTAGTGAATGCACTCTGGAGTGCTCAGCACTGAGTGTTCCTGTGTTCATTCAATAAGGGCAATACATGAGTAATGCTGAAAGACGTATTTACTTATCCTCTACTCACCATCCAGAAGAAATTTTCCCCTCTGGTGCCCACAGTCTTCCCCCTCCTCTGCATGCAGGAGTTTTGGTGCGCTTTCAGAAAGTGCACCAAAACCACGGGAGATAAAGAAGTCAAGGGAAAAGCACAGCTAATCCCCACCAAACTCATGGTACATTGCACTGCATCAGTGTGAAAAGGGCCATATTCTACCCAACTGGGTAGAAGATAGCTAGGAATCCCAGACACAGGTGCTTATCCTACCCCCTCTACTAAAAGCTGGTTGGAGTTACATTTTTTTCCCCCTGTAATTCCGAGACTAAAACCACTGCCAAACACTTAGAGAAGAAAGACCCCTCATCATCTTCTCCACCACTTCTTTCAGGTTCAGTGTCCTCCCTCTGGCCAATTGGCAGCCACTGATGGTAACCCAGTGCCTGGCTCTACTTTTAGCAACTGCACACTGCACTACAGGCAATATACACACACAAAAAAAAATAAAATAAAAAAAAAAAAAAAAAAAATATATATATATATATATATATATATATATATATATATAATCAAGAGAAAAGGGTTGCTGTGGAGTGCACTGAAAATGTACAACATTCAGTGCTTTTATTAGCACAGCAGGTTGTGATATGAACCACTGCCCTGCAACACAGCTGTAGATAATAGAACTGTATTGAAATGTCACTTGTGGCATTTAACTAAAGCTCTGCGGAAAAAAACAACCACAAAATAAAACTAAACAGTGCAGTGAGCCAGACTCAGTGCATTGAAAATGTGTCCTCCTACTGTACAACAGGCACCATGTGTTCAGTGTGGCTCACTGGTGTGAAGGAGCCTTTAATATTAGGGAACACGACAGTTTTCACTACCTGTATTTTTTTATTCATTTAGTTTCAAATTTAATACTGAAAATGATTTCTTCATATACAGAAGGTAGGTGCTAACAATGATTGGCCCTTAGTATGCCACATTCAATATTGCTTTATTTAAAAATCTATACAATTTCTGATTCCTCTACTGACTCTGCCTCTAGAAACACCTCCTTTCTGCACCTCTGTAGTTCAGAAGGCAGGCTCTGTGAATTCTGTGACACAATAGTGCCTACTCAATGAGCATAGTGAATGTGTCACAGAATTCAAGGAAGTAAATGTGTAGCAAGTTTACAAACTTCAAGATTGTTCAGAGTAGAAGCAGTAGGCTACAAATAGATAATAATAACATATGCAGCGCTAAGAAGGAAATGACTCATAAATCATACGTCTGATAAGATAAAAATATGAAAAGTGGTGGCTAAAGTGCTTAAAGTGAAAATAATGTCCTCAGGTGATATATCAATTGTCCCAGTAAAAGGTGCAAATGCTGTCGACTCCGTGCTCAAAGGTGGGTAAACTTTATGCACTCACCAGAAAGCGCATAATGTGCGCATTTGAGTTGTCAGACCACTCCTGGTACTAGAAGGCTGAGGCAATGTGGGTCATCTAGCAGGCTGTCACTCTGGTAGGGATGCTCCTTCCTCTAACCAGCAGGGGGGGCACCAGACATCCAGCAACGGTTGGCATACAGCTAATCCGGACTCCTCAGACCAGGACACTCAAAAATGATATCCACCTTGAAAAGGGGGGGGCTCAACCATACAGCCCACCTTCTGCAGAAATATCTGGTCTCCCCTAGGATTGTGCCCCTCTGTGATTGCCCCTTTTCAAGGTGGATATCATTTTTGAGTGTCCTGGTCTGAGGAGTCCAGATTAGCTGTATGCCAACCGTTGCTGGATGTCTGGTGCCTTCCTGCAAATGAAGCTGTTTTTAAGAATACTGCACTATGAAGTTTTTGTTGTTTCTTCCGAGTGTCTGGTATTACCCCTTTGGATATGAATAAGGTGATCTCTTGGAGAAGTGGATTTCCTCAGTGGTATTTAATTACAGAGCATTGCTTCTTTTAAATTGGTCTGCTTGGAGCTGGGTTCTGCAGATTATTACTCCCTGAAGACCCATCCATGAGTGGTTCATTACTCTGCTAATACCATCGCCCCCAGAGCAATATATGCTTCAGTTTTTAATAGCTCTGGTGAGTTTATTTAGTGCTTTTGGTGGTGGATTGTCACATTTTTGTGCACTTTTCTTTGGACTTGTATTACACATCTTATTTTGGACTTTTTTTGGAAACTCATATATATATAAACTTTTTTCAATTATGTATTTATATTACTCACATTGATAATATTTTTTTTTTTTATGTTCGCAGGTATAGTTGTTTTTTGGAATATTTATTTATTTACTAGCGCAAATTATTTTTGTGTTGTTTTTTACACTTAATTTATGGTGGATTTTGCAGCTGGTATATCAGATAGTGACCCATTTTTTTTACCCTTTCCATAGGCGCAATTATATTTATTACTTATAATCTTTTGTTTTGTGCTCGCGGTTTTTAGCTCAAAAAAGTCCAAAACTGCTCGTTTGCCGCGTTTTACTGCATTGTGCTGCATTTTTCAGCGTTAGTCCTCACGCACACGGGACGTTTTTACAACGGCTGCTTTTTGGCGTTTGACTTTTTTTCTACAGCCAGTAAACCCCCCCAGCATGTTATCCTATGTGTCCATACACATATAGACTGTAATCAACATTTTTTGGCTGAAATAAAATCCCAGGACTAGTGGGTTTCTAGAGCAGTTCAACTGTAAATGTTCTAACGCTAAAAAACACAGCATTTTTGGACTTTTTTTTTTTTTTTTTAAAAACCGGTAAAAATGCAAATGCAGAAAAACGCTGCTAAAAACACTAACATTTTTAACATGATTTTACACAGCTAACGTTACAAGCATTATCAAAATGTCCCGTGTGCATGAGGACTAAACAGTAAAGGGGCAGACTGACAACTCATGGGGCCCCGGGCAATAGGGGATCATGGGGCCCCTGTGTCCTTGCCCAAACTCAAAAAAGGCTATGAAAAAGGTACCAGGGGCATCTCATGGGGCCCCCTACTGACCCCAGGCCCTCGGGCAGTGCCCGAGTTTCCAATTGGTCAGTCCGCCCCTGCCTGGCAGTGACATAGCCCATCATCCCGTGCGCTCACAGCCCATATATACAAGTTACCAGCACCCCATGTCTGAATATATTTCTGCCATGTGACAGCTCCCAGCGGATTGGCAGTACCGCAAGCAGACAGACAAGAGGAGGGGCGCTCTCACCTTGCGGGTGTCTGGTGCCGTTGGGTTGCAGCAGAGGAGCTCCTCGCGCGTACATTGCCAGCGCCCAGGTGCGAGATAGGCGCAGGGATCGTACCGCCATGTTTACTGATGGCAATTCCGCCTACCTCTTTTAGCCACGCCCCGTGACGTATCCGGAAGCTCATCCCCTGTCTGAAGACACAAAGTGGTCTGTGAGTGGGGAGGCTGTAGGTGACATAGTCACAGGTTATACTGCTGGATAGTTCAGTGTGTTGTGTGCAGGGGAGACCCGTTATTCCATAGGGACGCTGTTTGTAACGAAGGTTAGGCTAGAAAATGAATATTGCTTTGTGTTTGTAACGTGAATGAGAGTGACTTGAAATACCCACTTGTAGGAGGAGCTTAAAGTGTTACTAAACCCAGGACCCTGCATGCACTATATCTGGTCTCCCAGGACCCTGCATGCACGATATCTGGTCTCCCAGGACCCTGCATTCACTATATCTGGTCTCCCAGGACCCTGCATTCACTATATCTGGTCTCCCAGGACCCTGCATTCACTATATCTGGTCTCCCAGGACCCTGCATGCACTATATCTGTTCTTCCACAGTACACAGAACATGGAACTGCAATTATTTTAGTAAATATAAACTGCTAAATACCTTTTCTCATCAGCAGAGCAGTCTTGTGACTTCAGCAAAGCACTGGTTAACCCCTTGCCCTCCAGTAGATTTACCCCCCTTCCTGACCAGGCCATTTTTTGCAATATGTCGCTGCGTTAGTTTGACAATTGCGCAGTCATGCAACGCTGCACCCAAATGCAATTTATGTCCTTTTTTTCCCCACAAATAGATCTTTCTTTTGTTTGTATTTGATCACCTGTGCTTTTTTTTTTTTTTTTTTGCGCTATAAACAAAAAAAATTGACAATTTTGAAAAAAACTATTTTTGACTTTTTCCCAGAAAACATATCCAGACATATCATCATTAATTTAGGCCAAAAAGTATTCTGCTACATGTTTTTGCTACAAAAAAACCCCAATACATGTAAATTAATTGATTTACGTGAAAGTTATAGCATATACAAATGGCGGTATATATACTGGAATTACATTTTTTTTTATACAAGTAATTGCAGCAATCAGCAACTTGTAGCGGGACTGTGGCGGGCATTCTGTCACTGGGGGGGGGGGGGGGGCGACTAACTGCCACTGACACCAATACAGTGATCAGTGCTAATAAAAAGCACTGAAACTGTACTAATGGCACTGGGCAAGAAGGGGTTAACATCTGGGGTGATCAAAGGGTTAACTGTGTGCTGTTTTACATGATGTGCTGTGTGTGTTTTACTAGGGCAGTGTTTCTCAACTCCAGTCCTCATGGACCCCCAACAGGTCATGTTTTCAGGATTTCCATTATTTTGCACAGGTGATTTGATCAGTTTCACTGCCTTAGTAATTTTCACAGCTGTTTCATCTGAGGGAAATCCTGAAAACATGACCTGTTGGGGGTCCATGAGGACTGGAGTTGAGAAACACTGTACTAGGGAGACATGCTGCTGTGTATTTCTCTGCTGTGCACTCTGGCTAGGTGGGAAATATCTATTGCAGGGGTATATGTAGTATTCTGGTAGCAAAAGATATATGTATACACCAATAGCAATGACACAGAAAACATTTAAGGCCAGTTCACACCAGCTGCTACATCAAAATACAGTGGCTGGCGTGCAGCGCTGCAAGATTGCTGTAGTTCTGATGCAGTGATCTCAGTGCATTGCACTGTTCCTTTTTTTTTTTTTTTAACATAAACTTTATTGAAACTTCAGCTATTTAATACATTTCATCTGATAGCCATGCAGTGCAAGGTGGATTGCATCTCATTGAGTTGCATTGAAAAAAAATACTGATGCAGTACTTTGTTTTATCACACACCACCACCATGCAGTGTGTGAATCAGTCACACAGGAGACCAGGCTTTTTGCCCTGTCATGTGGTGGGACCGTGCTGGAATGAACCCTCAAACTATGCAGAGACAGTGTGCAGGAGCTGACAAGGGAGAGATCTCTGTTGTTTATACACAGGCCTCTCCCCCGTCGGAGATACTCGGCGATCACCGGGTGTTGGCAAGTAACCACCGTCTGGGACCCAGAGATTGACAACCGAGGCCACGAGTGGTAGGGCACAGCGCATGCGTGCCCCCTACCCAGGAATGTAAAATCACATATATATACACTATATTGTCAAAAGTATTGGGACACCCCACCAAATCATTGGATTCAGGTGTTCCAATCACCTCCATGGCCACAGGTGTATAAAATCAAGCACCTAGGCATTCAGACTACTTCTACAAACATTTGTAAAAGAATGGGTCGCTGTCAGGAGCTCAGTGAAATCAAGCGTGGTACCGTAGGTTGCCACTTGTGCAATAAGTCCATCCATGAAATTTCCTTGCTACTAAATATTCCACAGTCAACTGTTAGTGGTATTATAACAAAGTGGAAGCAACTGGGAACAACAGCAACTCAGCCACGAAGTGATAGGCCATGTAAAATGACAGAGCGGGGTCAGCGCATGCTGAAGCGTACAGTGCGCAGAAGTCGCCAACTGTCTGCAGAGTCAATAGTTGGTTTCCATGGCCGAGCAGCTGCATCCAAGCCTTACATCACCAAGTGCAATGCAAAGGGTTGGATGCAGTGGTGTAAAACACGCCGCCACTGAACTCAGAAGCAATGGAGACGTGTTCTCGAGTGACGAATCACGCTACTCTGTCTGGCAATCCGATGGATATGTCTGGGTTTGGCGGTTGCCAGGGGAACAGTACTTGCTTGCCTGCATTGTGTCGAGTGTAAAGTTTGGTGGAGGGGCTCTAGCAACTGGGAGCAGCGGAGATGAGAAGAGTGTTCTCTGCTTTCTCTTTGGATGTTTAGGGTTAAATATCTATTTTTGGAATTTTTCTCACCTTTCTAGTTGTTTCTTTGGAGCAGGAGTATACAGACGGCTGCAAAATATTCTGAACAATTTCAAAGTGCAACTAGAGGGACAAAGTGATGAAAAGTGCATTACCTCACAATGTACCAACCACCCAGCTATTCTTCGTAGGAGAGGGTCCACCTGCAGTTTGCCCTTGGCGGAGCATTTCATACAGAGGCTTCTTTGCTGTTTCCTATGTCCAGATGAGATGTGCTTACATGCTGTTTACCAGTAGTTGTCTGGTGAGTGTACATCTGACAGCGGTGGTGGATTTCCTTACTGGATCACTTCACGGTGTTTCACCGTGATTGCTGTGCCTATAGTTCCACAGACATTTTTTTGTTTATATCATACTGATATATATGGACTTTATTCATTTCCACTTTACATGTTGCACTTGACTGTTCCACATTCATTGAATTTTTTTTTTTTATGCTTGTATGTTTTCACGTTATATGTTGCACTTGTTTTTTTTACCTTATTGCTGTACCTCAGATCAGCATTGCACTTGATTACCCCACATTAATATTATTATGGCTCCTTACTGTTCCAACATGACAAAGCAAGGTCCATAAAGACATGGATGAACGAGTTTGGGGTGGAGGAACTTGACTGGCCTGCACAGAGTCCTGACCTCAGCCTGGTAGAACACCTTTGGGATGAATTAGAGCAGAGACTGCAAGCCAGGCCTTCTTGTTCAACATCAGTGCCTGACCTCACAAATGCTTTTCTGGAAGAATGGTCAAACATTCCCATAGACACACTCCTAAACCTTGTGGACAGCCTTCCCAGAAGAGTTGAAACGGTTATAGTTGCAAAGAGTGGGCCAACTCAATATTGAACCCGTCGGAAAGACTGGGATGCCATTAAAGTTCATGCGTGTGTAAAGGCAGGCGTCCCATTAATTTTGGCGATATAGTGTACATGATTTTGCGCACCCCTGCCGCCCTGTAGCAGTATTTCTGCTATAGGGCGGAGGGGAAGCGATTAAAGAAAAACTAAATATAAAATGTAAAAACCTGCAAAAAGATCTTTATTGCAGAATAAACATACTAAGATGATGATGCAACTGTGTCTGTTAACTAAATTACTTTCCAAATAGTAATTAAAGAGCAAAGGATAATGTTTGGAGTGCAAAATATGAGCTATAATAAATGTTAACTGTCCGTAAATAATCCACCTTGTGTGCAATCGTTCAAAACAGCATTCATATATACACTATATTGCAAAAATATTGGGACACCCCTCCAAATCATCGGATTTAGGTGTTGCAATCACCTTCATGGCCACAGGTGTGTAAAATCAAGCACCTAGGCATGCAGACTGCTTCTACAAACATTTGTGAAAGAAGGGTTGCTCTCAGGAGCTCAGTGAATTCAAGCGTGGTACCATGATAGGTTGCCACTTGTGCAATAAGTCCATCTGTAAAATTTCCTTGCTACTAAATATTCCATGGTCAACTGTTAGTGGTATTATAACAAAGTGGAGGCAACTGGGAACAACAGCAACTCCAAAGTGGTAGGCCACTTAAAATGACAGAGTGGGGTCAGTGCATGCTGAAGCGCACAGTACACAGAAGTCGCCCACTCTCTGCAGAGTCAATATCTAAAGGCCTCTAAACTTTCTGTGGCCTTCAGTTTTGCACAACAGTGCATAGAGAGCTTCATGGAATGGCCGAGTAGCTGCATCTAGGCCTTACATTACCAAGTACAATACAAAGCATAGGTTGCAGTGGTGTAAAGCACGCCGCCACTAGACTCTAGAGCAATGGAGACGTGTTCTCTGGAGGGATGAATCACACTTCCAGCCTGGTAATCTGATTAACGTGTCTGGGTTTGGTGCGGGTGTGAGGTTGTTTTTCAGGGGTTGGGTTGGCACCTTAGTTTCAGTGAAGGGAATTTTTAAGGCATCAGCATACCAAGTGTGAACAGTTTGGGGATGGCCCCTTCCTGTTCCAACATGACTGCACACTAATGCACAAAGCAAGGTCCATAAAGTCATGGATGAGTGAGTTTGGGGTGGAGGAAATTGACTGGCCTGCACACAGTCCTGCCCTTAACCCAAGAGAATAGAACACCTTTGGGATGAATTAGAGCGGAGACTGTGAGCCAGGCCTTCTTGTTCGACATCAGTGCCTGACCTCACAAATGTGCTTCTGGAAGAATGGTCAAACATTCCCATAGGCACACTCCTAAACCTTGTGGACAAACTTCTCAGAATAGCTGCAAAGGGTGGGCCAACTCAATATTGAACCCTACGAACTAAGACTGGGATGCCATTAAATGTCATGTGCCTGTAAAGGCCAATACTTTTGGCAATATAGTGTATTTGATCAGGACGGATGATTTTCCATTGTTTACTACAGACCTAGGGATAGCTAGTAAATAGGGATGCGCTTAGGCATGTTCAAATTGGAATCCGAACCTGCCTCAGATATCCTGTCAGGGAGCTGTCAGTGGTTAGCCAATCATGGGTGGCGAAAGCATGCCTAGCCCTACAGCTGTATATGTAGAAGGGGGCATGTATACATGTGGCTGTAGGGTGGGGAATGCCTCTGTCGCTTGATTGGCTGTCTGCTTTGACAGCTTCCTGGCAGCTCAGGTGGGTTAGAACACACCTAAACTCAATCCTGCTAGTAACTGATCCAAATTTATTTAACTGTCCTCTCATTGGTTGAGTGAAATATAATCTGGGATTGGTGTGAATGTGTCAACATGCCTTGAGGATCATGTGACTTGTCTGATTAGTATTTTGCAAATCTCAAATATTTTGTACTATAAATAGCCTCCTTTTAACTCAATTAAAATATTAACCCTATTGATGATTATCAGCAGAAAAGGACATGCTGCTGTATATTTCTCTGTTAAATATTGCTGCGCATGCCAGAATGAGCGCAATAATTCTAGCACGAGACATCCTCCGTAACACTATACAGATGATCTATAAGGGGCTTTAAGTGTCGCCTATAGAAAATATAGGGTACTGAAGTTGGTCATTTCACAAACGTGCACAAATTTAAGGTTTGACATGTTGGATATCTGTTTACTCGGTGCAACCTCGTCTTTTATCTTTTACAAAAAAAAAATAAAATTATTTGCTTTTTTTGTGTCCTAAAATCAACTGAAGTGTATTTTGTACTGAACTTTTGCGGTAATATCATGCGACATAAAAAATTGGACCGATCACAATTTTATTCTCTAGGGTGTCTGCTTTCAGAAAATATATATTTGGGTTTTGTGTAATCTTCAGGCCTAAAATTATTATTAAGAAAAATTAATAATAGCGCCTATGGTCAAAATTATATAACTTACTAATAATGTACCAGCTGCAAAAAATCACCATATATAAAGTGTACCAATAAATAAATAATTTGCGCTAGTAAATGTGTATAAATATATATAAAGAAATCATCAAAGCATAAGTCCAGAAAAAAAAAATATATATATATGCCAATACCACAAAAAAATATAAAAAACTTTTAGGTGCAAAAAACTTGTGCAAAAAAATATTATATTCAGACACTTTTTTTGCACAAAAGTTTTTTGCACCTAAAAGTTTTTTATATTTTTTTGTGGTATTGGCATATATATATATTTTTTTCTGGACTTATGATTTGATGATTTCTTTATATATATTTATACACATTTACTAGCGCAAATTATTTATTTATTGGTACACTAAAATTATTATTATTTTTTTTTTTTTAAACATGTTTAAAAAAACAGCTCTGGCAGCAAAAGGGATAAGCCCAGAACACTCCTCTTTCCTGAAGAGCAGCCAATCAGTGCTCATTACACTGCAATGTCCCCTCCCTGCTAGTCCCCCAGGTGCAGTGCTGGAGACAATCAGGGAGGTGAGGAGGAGGAGATGAACAGTGCAATGTTAAAAAATATGAAGTGTTTAAGATGCCATAAAACCCCTCTTGTTTTTTTTAACCTCTTGCCGTCCGCCTGCTGTTTAAAAAACGGCAGGGCGGTGGCAGTCCAGGGTCGGGTTGCCGTTCATAAACGGCACCCGCCTTTTCTAGGGAGCGCGCACCACCGCGATCCGATGCCTGCTGTGTCCTCCGGACACAGTGAAACACAGATCGTCGGACGAGACCTCTGTACGAGGTCACGATCATGTGACCACTGATTGGCGAATCAGTGATCACATGCAAAGTAGTAAGCAAGATGTCACTTGTGACATCATTGCCTACTATGTGTGAAATCTGTGAATGATCACAGAGGTCACATGGTACAAGGCTATTCACAACAGCCTTGTACCATGTGACAAGCTGTGACCACTCACAGCTCACTCAGTAATTCTCAATGACTGCAAGAATGCAGACAGAGAGAAAGAGAAATGATTGCTTTTACATCCTATATGGGTGTAAAAGCAATCAGTGTAAAAAAAAAAAAAAAAAAAATCTTCATCACCCTCCACAAGTAGTACAGTGTCACCATGGTGACAGTGTACTGCTAGGGTGACAGTATGTAAAAAAAAAAAAAATAAAAAAAATAATAAAATGTAAAAAAAAGGTTTAAAAATTATAATTTTTGGTTATAAACTAATTTGGATTTTTTTTTTTGTACTAAAAAAATAACGGAATAAATTTTGGCTAAGATTTATGATGAAATATTATTTATTTGCAAAATTTTATTTAAAAAAACACTTTTTCAAAATTTTTGAACTTTTTTCATTTACATAGTAAAAAAAATAAAAATCCCAGCAGTGAATAAATACCACCAAAATAAAGCTTTATCTGTCTCAAAAAATGGTAAAAAATTCATATGGGTACAGTATTGCATGACCGCGCAATTGTCATTCAAAGTGTGATAGCGCTGAAAGCTAAAAATTGCCCTGGACAGGAAGGGGTAAAAGTGTCCGGACAGGAAGTGGTTAAAGCCCCAGACATTCCTAAAACCACCTCCGATTTAAATACATTTTTTTTTTTAATCTGGACAAGTAGATTGTCATGAGGGACAAGTAGATTGATACCCCTATTTAGTCCCTGGACAAGTAGTTTTTTCAAAACTTTCAACGTGTCTGTGTATATTCTATTTATAAAATATATATCTCAGAATTTCAAGTCCTGCGCTACCAACCAGGACTTAAGAGTTACTCGCTTCCAGCTGCCCCACCCAACCCCTACCCTGCCCCTAATTCCATCCCTATAAACATGCCCTCATAAATTATCTCATGAAATGGCGAAAAAAAAAAAAAAAAAAAGGTAGAGGGAGGGAGGAAGGAAAGAGAAGTGAGGGAGGAAGAAAGGGAGGAATAGAGGGAATAAAGGTAGGAAGGGAAAGGAGAGAGGGAAGGAAAGCAGGAAGGAAAATAAGGGAAGGAATGGGGGGAGGAGCTGCACACTGAGGAGCACACGGGGAGGGGCCCGGAAAGAAACGGAATGATCAGGGATGATTGGTGCAGCGGTAGGGACAGTTTCAAGCACTGATCTCCCTGTATGGCTTTCAATGAAGCAGCTGGAAGCCGCATCTCCTCCTCTCCCTCTGAAGCTTTCAGCTACGTCATTGAAAGCTATACAGGGAGATCAGAGCTCGTAACTGTTTGAAATAGGAAAGCAGTGGGACTGGCAGGGTAACCGGGTATTTCATGCACAACACGAAGAGCGGGATACTTTTTAACACAAGTACAAACTACAATAGACATATCAGGAATGTGAAATGTTGGGGTAACATACTCTTTAATACAATAATAGTAGAGTATGCCATCTATGGTGCTATCTGTGGATGGTGTATTGTTTGCAGCCATGAGCTTGTTATAACCACTTTCTGGCAGGCAGTCCTCTTTCATGCGCCCCTGACCAGTCCGATTCTGGAGGGGTCTGTCACGGTATAACTAGGAAGTAAAGTGCAATCTCAGATAGACATGATGATCAGGGTTCTATGGGGGCCAAACCATCACTTCCAGAACGCCTTGTTTTTTACGCTGAAGATTGTTCTTAAGGACATAGGCTGTATGTTTGGATTTGTTGCCCTGCTGCAGAATAAATTCGGGGCCAATCAAACACCTCCCGGTTGGTATGGCATGATGGTTAAGTATCTGCCTGTATTTCTCTGCAATGAGGACACCTTTGATCCTGACCAAATCTCCAACTTCGTTTGCAGAAATGCAGCCCCAAACTTGTAAAGAACCTCCACCATGCTTCACTGTTGCAAGCAGACCCTATCACAACTGAAAAACTAATACTACAGCCAGCTCCCGGAGTTCAATAAGCTAGAGCTTAACTGCAACAGTGGTTTGATCTCTTTGAAAGGATTTTAACCAGTTTTACAAATTACAGGCACAGCTACGATTGTGTGAAGGGCAGGATCCACTATACAGAAAAGGGCTAGAGAAAGAGCTTCCAACCACTTGTTGGATGTATCTGAATACATATGCATCTCCTGCCAGTACAGTAAGATAGGAAATGACCAGATTGACAGTGGGATCAGACCACTGATGTACAAAACCATCACCAAATGGATAACAAGGCTAGTGCTTTGGAGAGTGGAAACATTCTGGGAAGTGATGTGCTCCCCTAAGAGAAATTGTTAGAAAAGCAGCTGCAAGGGGAAGTCTTTGCAGCCTTAAAGCAGAACTCTGGGGCAAAAACTTTTTTTCATTTCCTTGTTGCTGATCTTCTACCTTCACCAGATAGGCCATCCATCTTCTTGTTAACTCAGTAGTTGCTCTGAAATAGCCTGATAAATTTCAAATGAAAGTTAATCCCTAGGGGTTTCCTTTTTGTAAGAGCAGTGGCTGCTATTCCTCCTATTTC